TGACTGTCTAGCTCAGTAGATGGCATTTACAAATGAGAACACTGGAATGTAGCACACATTTTCTTCTAATCCTAATTGTCTTATACTGAATTGACTGTTCGCTTAACTAAAAACTATAAAATCAGTTAAATATTTTAAATTCTTCCTCTAAGACCTTGAGACATTATGAGATGATAAGGCCTTTTCTGTTTTCCTTTCCTAAGACTTGACCCAGAAAAATTGTTACATTTTCCTTTTCAAAAACCTTAGCTTGCAGAATTCCCCAAGGCCTGCTTAACAATGGAGATTCAGAAAGGACCATCAGATTTTCATATAATCATATCTAAACTAAATTGTCAAGCTCTGGCAGGGCTCTAATATCCTTATCAGTGAGATTGGATTAGTGTATAATATCAAATTTGTGTTTCTTTTCTTTCCCCGCTTCTCCCCCGAGTCCTAGGTCTTTCTATATAGTCCTAGCTGTCCTGGAACTCACTCTGTAGACCAGGCTGGCCTTAAACTCGGAGATCTGCCTGCCTCTGCTGCCTTAGTGTTGGGCTTGAAGATGTGTGCCACCACGCCTGATTCAAATTTTGTTTTTTCAGTTTACTGAAGCTTGCTTTGTTTGCTTGTTTGCTTGTTTATTCTTTAGTTCGTTTGAGACAGGTCTAACTATGTAGCACTGCCTGGTTTGGAAATGGCTTTGTAGACCAGGCTAGCCTTGAACTCAGAGATCCACCTACATTAGCTTCTTCTCTTGAGTATCGCATTAAAGGCATGCACCACCACATATGGCCTGAACCCCTTTTATTGCTCAACTGACCTAAGGGTTGGGGTGGACGTCATCTTTCACTCTTCCTCTGCATCCTTCCCTCACACGGAGGTGGCGACCTGAAGCTATGAAGATAGTAAGATCCTGTTGTGTGCCATTTGTTAAATGCGATTTTTATTGGTGACGATACAATGACACTACTGATGCCTCTGGATTGACAGGAAAGAACTGTTTAAAAACTTCAAACTTGCTTTATCCCAATAATCTATTTACTTAATTACTTTTGCTGCTAAAGAGACACTTTTAGATTGTTATCTCTTTAGTTATTATAAAAAAATAAATACGTTGTTTTCTTGCTAATAAAATCTTGAGAGAAACCCTGGATAGATACTTTACTCTGTGGGACTAAAATGAGTCTGGAAAATACTAGGTGACTGTGAAGTTTCAAAGTTGAAACTCAAACCCAGATTTTTTTATGATCCAATGTATTTCCACGTGTTACATTTTACTGACTAACTCCAGTAAAGGCTTTCCTGGTGGAAACACGAAATAACATTTGAAGTGAGTATTTTGAAACAATTTCGTGTTTAGAAGATGGAGATGTGCAAGGTTCTTGGGTAGGTTTGCTGCATGGAAACATGATCATTCAGTGTTTGCTCCTTTGCGTAGTCTTTGATTCAGTAACTGTGTCCTCCGTGCCTCCCGTGCGTTCAGCACTGCGCACTAATATACCTGGCTCACATAGTTCTTTTTTCTCACAGAACATAGAAGTATCAATGTGACAGACACATAATGCGTTAGCACCATCACAAAGTAGAACAAACAGCAGACACTGAAAAAATGAAAGGCAGTTGCCGCAATTAAGGTTTGTATTCCCCTCATTTTTAAAAATTATGTTAGAAAAGTTCATCTGTTGTTCAAAAACAGTTGACATGCATATTTTGATTTTAAAAGTACCTCATGGAAAAATTGAACCCCAAAGCCTGTCTGCCAGGAGGACATTAACTGTCAGGCATCCTACTTGGTAAAATGAGCATCTTCCTTGTACGCCTTTGGTTTAGGAACTAATAGAAATGACAGAGAAGAGACCTTTCAAAGCTAAAAGGTGATATGAGTTCAGAGTCAATGAAACCCTTATTTTATTAAATGAAACTTATTTTATAAAACATGAACTAGTTCGTTTCCTTCAGATGTGGGTTAATACCTGTCCTACCTTTCTTTTGATTGCTGTGATAAACACGAAGATCAAAAATGACTCGGGGGCCTTACCCATCCTGATCACCGTCCATTATTGAGGAACATGAGGGCAGGAACTCAAGCATGCAGAGAAGCAGGGACTATGGAGGAAAAATGCTTCCTTACACAACCAAGGGCCAACTCTCCAGGGGTAGACCTGTCCACAGTGTGCTGGGCCCTCCCGATCCATCTTTAATAAATGCCCTGTGGACATGCCCACAAGCCAGCCTGCTGGTGACATTGCCTCAGCTGAGGTTCTTTATTCCCAGGTGACTCTAGAGTTTGTGTAAAGTTGACAAAAACTAACCAGTACCTATGTGTAAAAGGTGCGCTGGAGCAAGTTTATCATTTAGAATGGCTCGGGATTTCAAGTTCCATATTTAATCATCATTGCTCCTTGTACTCCTGAGTTGCTAATTGGTTACTATTCTGATGCATAATTATGGGGTAGTGAATATGTACCAGGGCTTTCAGTTATAGTGAAGTCATGAAAACAGAAATTACCCTGTTGGTTAATATCATAATCTCCTCATTCAGTTCTCGCCTATTTTTCCTCCAAATTATGTAATTATTCATGATTATGAATATTCTTCCCTAAGACATACTACAATGTGCCAGTCACACTTACTCTGACTTAGAAATTATTTTAAGTCCAAATCATTCCTGATCTGACATCATCCAGCTGCAGGTTAGGAAGCAAGATGCGTACTAGTTAAAAGCAATATATGCTGTGAATCACTAGAACAGTTTTAATCATAAGCAGCACGTTTGCTGGCATGTTAGCATTCCCTTCTGAATAGTGCATTTGTGAACTGTATTTCATCTGGTTTTCCCAATGGATTAACTCTTTAATCTTCTCAGTGTATTAAAATAGTTTGCCTGTGGTTGCAACTTTGCTTCAAGCAAATCACTGTCAAGTCAGAGAATAGAGTCATGATACTCTGTGATTATTATGAAATGTTGCTTAATGTTTAAGAATTACATTTAAAATCCATTTGTCATTTGTTTCTTTTTTTAAAATATTTATTTATTTATTGTGTATATAATATTCTGTCTGTGTGTGTGCCTGCAGGCCAGAAGAGGGCACCAGACCCCATTACAGATGGTTGTGAGCCACCATGTGGTTGCTGGGAATTGAACTCAGGACCTTTGGAAGAGCAATGCTCTTAACCTCTGAGCCATCTCTCCAGCCCCTGTCATTTGTTATTTAAAGATCATTGAAATTTTATGTTCAACATAATTTTAGTATTCCTAGAATTATTGGCAAAATGGACTTTAAAGGAGAAAGGCCCCTTCGGGAGGCTAGCTGCTCAAGGATTTATTCAGAGAGTTGACAGTAGAGGCCCAGAGACGCAGAAAGCATTATTTGAGGTCACACACAGTTGAGGCCATTCTTCTGTTGATTTGTACTGTGAATCTAGAACTTTATGTTTTTCTTGCAACATCTAGAAATAGAATAGCATATATTTGATAAAATTAAGTTCCTGTAGTTTTAACCCTTTAAGGACATATATTGAAGCTATAATTGGTGGTCTTCACTGTTGATGCTCACTAGTTTTGCTTTATGAATGCTTCAACTCTAGGATTTGACTAGTAATTTTAGTTAAAACCCTAGTGACAGAAACCCAGCTCTAAAATTTTGAGGATTCTGACATATTAAAATATGAAAAGCTAAGATTGTGTTATAAAAAATCATACAAACTAGTTCAGTATTTACATATAAAATATTAGTGCTTTCACAATGGACATATAAGTGCAGTAGGTAAGAGTCTAATTATGAATTAATTTAAAGCATACCTGTTCCCTCTTTCTTCCTGTGTATTCTAGACTTGGGGTATGTGACCACTCCTAAGCCCAGTCTTTGTTCTTGACTGTTTTTCCTTCAGTATACTAAAGGATTATCACATATTCTGGTAATAATCTTTCTTCAGAGGCGATGACTGAAGGGCAGAATGGGAATGGGGAAGGCCCGTTTGTAGAGATCAGAGAGGAAATAAAGAGATGGAAGTCAGATTTTCAGGGCCCTGTTTGCAGGTTGCTTTACTATACAATTGGTCCTGAAGCTTTGGGTCATTTCAGCTTTTCCCCCAACCTTACTTCTGAGAGAAATACAGAATGGAACATGCTTTTGGATATAAGGGAAGCCAGCCATCTAACGTGTACCGCTTTATAGAAGCTTTTAAACTACTCTGCCTTTTAGGGTCACAATGCCTCCTTCCTTTCTCGCCAATAGAATACTTAGTGCTTTTTTTCTTTTATAAAGAAGGTGGAAATGTATTATATTGACAGCATTGTTATAATCGAATATCTAAAGGTCATTGCTATTATTGACATGAAGCAAATAGATATTGAAATATCCAAAGGTCATTCACAATTTGATCTCAGGGCTAATCTGTCTGGATGACTATTCCACTCCATCCTCTGCTTCAGGAAGAGGAAAGAACAAGAAAAATGTTCCGCTGTGGATAAGGAAAGGTAAGACTCATGGGCCCACACGGGTGAAAAATCCAAGGGCAGGTCAAGGTTTGTTCTTTGCTCTTGGATTAGACATCCTTCTCAACTTCGGAAAGCTTTACCTGTGGCTAGGCATGAAAGTATCACAGATCTTTGGATATGGCGAAGAAATTATGTATTTACATATGTCATATAATATCTGAAATATTATATAAATATTTTGGAATAGATGACCGTATTTTTTGACACAGCTAGTCAGTTAGTGTTCTAAGCCAGAGAGACTGTTTTTCCAATAAGCAGGATTCAGAACTGGTGGGGAATAACAGCCATACTCCATTCTTACAGTGTGCTGACGTGACACACACCGTCTCTGTTCTCCACAGTATTCATTCGAATCTTTACTTTTTGGATCAAAACTCACTTATTCATCCCATAATTATTGAATGCCAGTTATGTACCCAAACTACATAAGTCACGGTGATAGTAAATATCGACAATAAATAAGTGCTATCAAGGCTAATCAAACAATAGGGTGAGCCCTGGGTAGATGGTCAGATACCTGTTAAGGATGGATTCTTGCCTGGGATAAACTTGGTCTCGACCAGGTAGCTTCTTCACTGATGTCAGTGGATTCAGGAAAAGAGATCGCCATATAAAAGCCCTTGGAAAGTGGTTTTGCTGTAGATGGTGACAGTAATATTAGAGATGAACTTGGCAGCGTGTGTGAGCCGGTTATATTATAAACTCATGTGGTTGGCGTCATCCTTCTTCAGTGTGTGACCTGTTGTGTCTGTTTTTGATTGTCTTACTGTGTTTTTATCACCACGAATGGTATGACAATGTATAAATACACCCTAAACCCCTCCCGGCCGAGCTGCTCAGGTTTACATACGTAAACCACATACGACCCTGCTACTCTGCTGTGCCTAATTTCTATTTTACAGTTTGGTAGAATCTACCATTTTAGTTCTTTCTTTCCCAAACAGGCTTTCAATTGGCATGGTTTTCAACATACGTGTGTTTGTGTTTGTGTGTGTGTGTGTGAGAGAGAGAGAAAGAGAGAGAGAGAGAGAAAGAGAGAGAGAGAGAGAGAGCAAGGGGGTTACTACTATACTAACAATTAGTTTTTGAGTTCAACTATTGTTTACTTATTTCACACAATGTAAGAGGATAAGGACCAAATTCAATACTAAAATCGTGAGTGTTCTTTTTTGATTGCTTACATACTTTGAAACTATAGCTAATGTTTTTCCGTGTTTTTTTTTTTTTTTTTCCCCCACTGAGGTTGGCAACAAGTCACTAAAGTGTAGTGTGGATTGAAGAATACTTTAGGGGTAAATGAGTAGGGCCAGAAATAGCAGTGGTACAGTTAATTTATGTATTTGCTGTTACTATTGTGTGTATGTAAATGATGTGTTTGGACACTTGGACAGGATCTAGAGGCTAGTTTTGTAGGGTAAATTGTTCTCTTCCAACTTTATGTGGGGTCAGGGAACCAAATTCAGGTCCAGGATTGGGCAATAATGACATTTAAGCAGCAAGTGCCCTTGGCCTCTGAGCAATGCGCGTATCCTGTGTTTGTTGATGGTGTAATGAGATACACAGTAGTGAGATATACAGATAGAGCCCTGTGTGAGGCCTTGTCTGTGGACATTTCCAAAGAAGATTGGCTCTTAGAAGCAGGAAATGCATCACTTGCTCTTTCAAGTCAAGTCTGATTATCTCTAAGTCAGTTTTTAATTTTATAAGAAAATTATTTTATCCAATTTCCCCCATTAGTGAAAGAATATGGCCTTAGCAGAAGTACTGTCGAGCAGATGAGGACAACAGCCAGCTGCAGTGCACTGTCTAATACAACTACAATTAGATTTTTGGTGTATTTGTTCTGGTCTGTCTTCACTGTGTTTCTGTGTTTTTCCATCACAGTTAAAATCAGCACATATCCTTCGTAGCCTGACATTGTCATTTTGCGGTATATAAGAAACATTTTCATATGTATTTTCCAGCAACATTAAAGAAGCATATTTTAAATATACGTTACCATCTTTCTTTCAATAATTTAATATGATAGGTGTTCAATTCAGTAAATTAAGCAGTAATTTAATCAACAAGAATTGTTTCATATGGCTATAGATTTAAGAACTGTGCTGTCTCCTGTTATTGTTGGTGATGCATGTTCACCAGCAGTGACTTTACAGATGAGTTTTTCCTGGGGTAAGAGGTTGGGGTTGCTGCTCAGAGTGGACATCTTCTCAGAGAGAGATATAGTGATAATTACTTGGAACTTTTCACCTGTACCCAGATCAAGACATATTGTATTTAGAGTACTGTAGACATTGCCCCCCAAATATTATTCTAACCATTTGATGGTGAGCCAAATACAAAGCTATATCTGGGTCATGTTCCTTGAAAACGAGAACCTTTTTAAAAGGCATTTCTTTTCACTTTGCATCTCAATTCAGCCCAGAGAACTTTGGTTCCAGCAGCCTTCTGGTCACCTAGTTTGCATCTATCCTGTCTTAGAGTGGAAGCTGTGAATTGCACACTGAACTTGAGAATGCAGATCGCATTCCTGGCTCTTTGGTCTGCTGTGTAAATGTGACCTCTAAAACATCTTTGACTGTCAATTTCTGCAAAACAATACAATAATGTATTGTATTTTGAATCTTCATTTGCCAAACTTGCCCTTTAATTGGCAGAACATTCTAGTTGTCTTTGGTTTTGTTTTTAAACTAATTTCTTATACAATGAGACCTTATTACTCCCCACCCCATTCAGTTCTTGTCTTTGAATGTAAAATTTGCTTAGTTAGCTTTAGTTCATAATTTATATTGTTATGACATATCATATCTTTTCATTTATTTTTTTGCATATATTCTGTGACTGTTGGTCTCAACATAGAACAATTCAAAGACTTTTGATGATTTGGACTTTTAAGTTTGACCAATTTTGATACTAGATTTGTGGCATTTAGAACCTTTTCATACTTGGATTGTATTTATTCTTGTTACAAAAAAAAATGGCATCAAGATCTTGTCGGATCTTGTAGGTGGTTGTGCTCTGTCAGTCCAGTTGATTTCAGAGTCATGCTCGCAGGCACGACTGTGAGGTCCGTCATCCTTCGATGAACTTGTCAGCCTTCCTCATTCTTAGTGTATGACAGCTGCTCCTGTTCAGAAGCAGGGCTTGGAGATAAGTGAGAATGACTCAAGGCATCATAGGTGAAAACTGTCTCACCCACATTCCTGAGTGCTCTTCGCTTTCAGGTGAAAATTGTGCTATAACAGTTCAATTGATGTTAAAAGTCTATGTGGACTAAATAAACAGAAATAATTATTTAGTAGTTTTTCACGAGAATTAAAGTGATAATGTATTAAAAAACCCTTATATTATTGACACTTAGTAAAATGTGTTTATGTGACTGGATGTTTGTATATATATGAGCAGGTACATGTATGTAGGTATGTGTGTCTATGTGTTATGTTTCTGTATGTATTTGTATATGTATGTGTGTATTTATGTGTATATGTGTATATATTTGGTAGCTATATATACCTGATTTTTGGCAATGATGCCTTAAGTGGCAATTACTACTGCTATTACCATTTTTTTTCAGTAGCAGACAAATAACTTGTCAGAGGAACTGTTTATTCAGTGATGACGTACTTTGGTCAAGGCAGTTGTCTTGTGTAGTTCTTCCTTATCCTGTGCCCTGAGTTAACTAGTCTTTAGCAAGAGCTTGGGCATTGGTTTTTGTTTTTTAAGTTCCTTAACTGATTATAATCTCAGAAGTGTTGAGAACCAGGAGCCTTGGACATAGTTTGTATTTGATGCTCCAGCTCCCTTACCATCTTTCACAGGTAGTCTTTAAAGGTCCTGAGTGGGCCCATCATCTCGTTGGGTTTGAATGTGGGCCATTCTCCAACCCATGAGGAAACCAGAGCAGTGATCATTTTTCCATACCAAGCTATTATTTTAAAATTTGTTTCAAACAGTACAACTTGCAGTTGATTATCCTTGTACTTTTAGGGGCTTAGATTTTAAAACTTATTTGTTCTGACTTGGTGTTTGTCTTAGCTGGTTTATATGACATTTTCTGGATTTAGAAACCAAACATAATTTATTAAGGGAAAGTTAGAAAATTTCCTATATATGAGAGAAAGTTAACCTCTTTTATTCCAATAAGGATCTTTTTCAACCTACGTGGGATCCTCAAAAGTGAACATTGCCTTCAGGCTGCTTTTGTATGTGTGTGCTGGTACTAATCCAACCCTGGTCACCTCCGCCATCATTTCACTTCCATGTCACCCAGGCCTGTGACAGATTAACTGTCCAGCTTTCTCTTTTATCCCACAACAGACTGGAAGCTGCAGTATATTTTAAGATTAAAGTTTCTTGAAATCAAGAAGCTGTGATTTTAATATGAAACTAATGTGATACACACAGACACAGGCATACACACACATTCCTAAACAAAACTCACTGAGCAGTTGAATGAACCTGGATAATATATTATAAAATGTATTAACATTGATACAAAACATAAACTGATATTTGTTTCTTAATATTCACGGATTAGTGTCTATTGAGTGACTTTAAAAGTTTTGGTAATTTCTTAACCTTGCTTACCTTTGCATAAATATAAAAATAGTAGTCTGCCTGGCTTTTGTTGTGGCCTTGTAATGTGTTTGCCATTGATGCTGGGCGTCTTTTGATAAAGTCGCCCACAGGCTGTACAGTACTGAGCTAAGCTACTCATGGACTGCAGTTGTTCACCAAGAGCCTGGCATGTCTAGGCCAGTCTTTGCTTTTCTCGCAGAAGCATCCCTGATTGAGAATATCTCTTAGTTACTTTTCTGTTGCTGTTAAGAGACACAATGACTACGGTCACTTTTGAAAAAGTTTATTGTGGCTCACGGTTCCAAAGGATTAATTAAAGTCCATGCTTGTCATGGCAGGGAGCATGTCAGCAGACAGGCAGGCCTGGTGCTGGAGCAGTAGCTGAGAGCCCACATACAGATCCACAGGCACAAGACAGACAGAGAGGCAGACACAGGGAAAGACAGAATGAAATGGCATAGCCACACCTCCTCCAGGAGAGCCACAGCTCCTAATACTTCCCAAACAGTTCCATCAACTGCAGGCCGAGCATTTAAGTGTGTGAACCTATGAGGGGCGCTCTCCTTCAAACCACCCGGGCATTGCTGTCATCTTAACATAGTGTCCGCTGAGGAACTTCTCAGGGCTGATTGACTTCTCTGCGTTTGCTTTACATTCCCTGTTTCTTCAGTTTTATTCTCTGTAAGGTTGACATCATCATGCTTATTTATGAGGTATATAATACAGTACTATAATCTAACAAATCGGAAGACATGTAGTCATTAAACCATGGTGTTTGGAACCTTCCAACTCTTCCTGGTTATTCTGTAGAGTAAATTGTAGACTGTAGATGTCTGATGCCCTCCAGCACTGGAACTACTTTGCTCCCTAATTATGTCTGAGTCGCCACTGGCCCTTCCCTGCCCTCTCTGCCTTTTCTGTTCACCCTCAGAGATTGCTGTTCCACCTTTTGCTCTGAGTGATCAGTTTCCCCTCTTAGTTTCGTTTCTTCCCACCTCTTACCTCCTCAATTATCTTTTCTTTTCTGTGGCATAGCTTAGCGAAAAGAGCAGACTTTGCATTCAGAAAGAGGAGTTCAG